AATGTAAATAAAACTGTGAAAATATTGTCTTTGTTAAAATTTATATGTTTATATGTATAAAAATGTGATGCTGGAAAATTTGGTGATCAAAAGTATCTTTTTTTGGTGATCAAAACAATTGACACCCCAAAAAGTTTATTATTCGTTTTCTGTAATGAATATTTGTTTTATGGACAACATATTCTATGATTTCCTTGAGCCCGATTCTCCTGCAAACGAAGTAACACACACAATTCACTGTACATATGGCTTCGTATCCAACGGACAATGCTAGGCGGCAATCTTATTTTCGTTTTTTAGGGGATTACAAATTTGAATGGTATTAGAAAGCAATCATCTCAACAAGCAAAAGCAGTTGTTTCGGTATATGTGTGCGTGTGCCCGTTGACAGTGCATGCCCTCTTTAAACCGATCTTATTTCTTTAATAAAATAATTCAACAACCTCAAACGGTTCTGGAAATCAGGTAAATCAAGGGACTTTTCCTGTTTAGTCTGGCTATTCCAACCATGAGCCTGAAAGAGAATGACGAGCTTTTACTTCGATTTCATCTTGCAAACTACTTTCATGAAAATAATGTTTTCTTATAAATAACATAACTTTACGGAAAAATAGTGTACAGAGCTCGAATGCATCTGGTTTTATAAAGAATGATTTGCTCTTTCTTACAGGCTATTTCAGAAAATTAATTGACGTGCTTTCGTGAGTTCATGATTTTCGGATAACCAAGCCTTGGAAGGATTCTGAACTTCGTCAGCAGAAAACGCGTGTCAAGTAGCATCTACAATCATAATGTGTATTATACTAAGCTCTTGTGCCATTTTATGGAAACTTTGCTATGCCGAAGACGTAACCTACAAAAAGGAGTTTGAAGACACAATAATAATATTAATAATGTTGTTTTTGCTATAGCATGATCGTTTGGTGTCGCATGAATTTCTTGAACCATATCCCATTGAGCAAGTAAAGTACTCAATTCATATTATTCGTTATATAATAACCATTCTCACTGTTATATATTTACAGATCTGCAACATCATGATTACTGTAATGGAAATCAACCGAACGCAAGTAAAAGAAAATTAGATTATTTCAAATGGCTTACTTTTTTTCTTATGAAAATACGTAAAATACTATAAAGATAAGAATGTGTTTTTTTAATTCATCACTCTTTTTCTCACCGATCAAAGAATGGACTACTCTTATTTCTGACAATCCTGATGCTGGGGTCCATAAAAAAGTTTTCTTGCTCAGTAAGTTATCGAATAGATGCAGTATATTGTGGATTAGGGGTTGATTTTCCTGCTCTAAAAGTCCATCTCAAGTCCCGCATAGACTAGTTTAAGAAAATCTGTTGTCGATCGCTGACTCCCCAATGCTCAGTTAAAGATCCAAATCAGTGTTTTCTGAAATGTTCTTGCCATTAACAGTCGAGGTCTGTCTGTAATCAACACCCCTGAAGATCTTAATCTTCAGTGTAATTTGGCGACAGTGTTACCGAAAGTTTCCCTTGCAAGCATCTTCTTTAGTCTTTTTTGCTTCATGACGTTATAAATAATACACACATTTCTCAAAAACAAAAATCCTTTTTTATTCCTCGAAATGATGATCCTTGTACTACTTTTCATCCACTTTACTACAATGGATCAAAAAGAGGTTCCGCTCTTTCATATCTGAACAATGTGTATCATTCTGTCTACTTTTATGATGTTCCTAAAACCTTTTCAGTCAAAAATTCTCTTATTTACTTGATTGATCTTCTTTTTTAGTAATCCTAGTCTGCCTTATTCTTTATTTCCAATCCCGAGCATTTGTTATAAGCTATTTTATTTGAAAGAGAAACATTTTAACTTTCTCCTCTACCACCGAAAGAGAGACGTACCCCATTATTATCGAAGAACAGAGGAGAGGAACACAATCAATACAATGTAACCAAGAATTCCAAGCATTTCTCAACTAATCTAATGTAATCTCTGCGATTGTAATTTTACCTGTGAATGTCTTATTGTTTTGCTCTTTGATAAAGTTTATAACAACTGGTGTAGCCTGCAAGACCTTTTAAACAGACCGATAGGAAGCTTTTTATAGTTTCTTCAGGTTTTTTTCCGTTTTAAGCTTAAGGTTTTTTCACATTTATAGACACTTAAAAGTAATTTTTTTGGTGAGAAATATCAAAAATTTCTGTAAAATAAATCAGAAAACCAGACAATTTTTTGTTGTATCGACCAGTTTTGGCGGTAAGAAAAACGTTTTTAGCCCAGCTGGTAGAGCGACGCCGAAAAATGGACAAGACAAGCCAGTCTGACGGATGCTCTGCCTAGGTAAGATTTTCCAGTTCGGCAATGACCGTTGTAATACATGTCACTCCTTTCTCTGACAGATGCCGCATTTTGTTGGGAATATTTGACAGATGTCGAGAACAGGCTGAACACCCTGTTCCGAGTTCACCCAGTCTAAGTTACTTCTCATTCTGGATTTTTTTCCAGTACTTTTAAAACTGTATATAAGAGTTGTTTTCCCAGCGTACATTGTTATTAGTTGTTATAAAGTTACATTTGAAATGAAGATAGGACGAGATAATATTAGTTCTATTAGGTAAGTATAACAGGCAGTGAAACCAGTCTAGAAGCTTTTAGAACTGCTTCAATCTCTGGTACCAAATGATTGTTTTCGTTTAATATAATCTATCAATTTTTTAAGTAGAACAATTCAAGAACATCAAGTGGTTTGTTGCAGATCGAATAAGTCTAAGTTTTTCCAGAATAAACTTGGTCTAGTAAGAAAGGCGTTTTTCATGATTATTTTCTGAACATGTGGGGAAAATGAATTGGGTATACCTTCAGGAGGGGAGTGACAGCAGTATTAGCTGACGAAACGCACCATTAAGTATTATTTCAGAAAAAAAATTTGTAAAAGGGATAACAGCTCATTACAAAATATACAAGTAGCAGCGGTATGAGACATGATAAAATCTAATCCATTACAAAATAAAAATTCATTTACATACAGTATTTTTGTGAATGTTTGGCAATAAATGTTATTTTCGTTTCAGATAGTTTCGAATCGGAATCATAGAGAAAGCTACAAATACGTCAACTAGTAATACAACAAGCATTTTAACAACGGCGACCAGCAGTGCAACAACTAGCATAACAACGATTGCTACAACTACAACAATTAATGGGACAACACTTTCCACTTCATCCACTTCAGGTAATATAGATATTGAAAAGGTTTATTGTATACTATTAGCTTTCTCTTTTTATTTTGGCATCAACATCAAGCACAGTTAGCGTCACAACTAGCACCAGCACTACATCAACCTCTAGTAAGATGTATTGGTTTTCAAAAATTTGGACCGTTTGGGAAAAAAGTTTTTTGGTTGAGAAACTATTTTTTGCTCAATAGCCGTTTTCAAACTGGTTAAATTTACTTTCTTCAGGTATAGTTTTTGGGCAGCAAAACTTTTTTACACCATTGTGTCAGGTAATCACTATGCTCTATAACATGTCATTAATTGTTCTTGCGAGATTGAGACTTTGATCTCCAATGAAACGTCACCATTACATAGAATAATCATTATATTTCTATACTCTGAAGTTTTAAACTACGCAAAGCTAGAAGTTCTACAATATTCAACCAGATTAGGATTCATTAGCAGATGCGAGTGTGTTCAGTTTCGTTTTTAAAATATTTCTGCCTTTCACCAAGTTTCCGTAGACGACTTTTCGCTCGCTATCAACACGAAAAAGACATTCATCTGCTCGAAATTTTCTGCGAAAATTTCTGAAAATTCTCGATAATTTCGGCACTAATCGAATTTTTTCCCGTGAAAGTTGAAATTATAAAATTCACATAGCTCGTCATCTACAATAAATACGAACTAATGAGCTGAAACTTTGTTTATAATCAGCATTTTTAATGTTTAGTCTTTACATAGAGTTTCAAGTGATTTACTTAAATCTATAGTTAGTTCCAGAGAATCAGATATTTTCGAAACGCGCGATAACATTAGAGAAAGTAGTGAACGAAAAGCGAATGGCAATATCCACCTATCTATAAAAATATTTCTTGCAGAAAATTGTAAAGTCAGGATCTCATGTTTTCATTTTTTCTATTCTACGATTGAAACTAGCTTATAGTTAAGATAATAAATAAAAAGATTCGTCCCTTCTCATTTAGCAACCGCAAGTACAACACGAACAACAAGTACATCAAGTACCACTTCTACGTACGTTAAATACTATTGAGAATAAAATTTCTTACAAATGATTGACAGGCGTTTGCGTTTTGGCAGTCCAGGCAATTTCGACATAAACACTTACGAGGGAACCTCTTGAGGTTATAAATCGCTTTTGAACTCGGACTACTTGTACCTTGTAGACCTCAGTCAGTAGTGAAATACTCTAAGTTGGTTCATCCCCATGATGCTTTGTTGCTGAGATATTGAATTTTTAGTCAGTTTTTGCCTATAGAGCTTGGATTTCGAGCAAAATCCGACTTTCGAATTTTGACTTGAAACTTGCCACACTGGTAGCCCATGGTCATAGTAGTACGACGGGAAAAAATTCGATCCTAATGAATTTTCCTACCTTGAGATATTGAGACTCGAACATCTGACCCTCACCCTCACGTTCAAGTGAAATATTCGAATCTCAATATCTCAAGGCAGGAAAATTCATTAGGATCGAATTTTTTCCCATCGTACTACTATGATCATGGGCTACAGTGTGGCAAGTTTCAAGTCAAAATTCGAAAGTCGGATTTTGCTCGAAATCCAAGCTCTATAGGCAAAAACTGACTAAAAATTCAATATCTCAGCAACAAAGCACCAAGGGGATGAACCAACTTAGAGTATTTCACTACTGACTGAGGTCTACAAGATACAAATAGTCCGAGTTCAAAAGCGATTTATAACCTCAAGAGGTTCCCTCGTTAGACTAATGAGCTCGTTACTGATGCTTAGTTTCCATTCTGAAGCAAGACTGCCACCGTAAGAACTTACTCCACTCAGCTCTAACTTTAATTTTTTCTTTGTTGTAAATTGCTCGATCAATTGTAGATTGCGCGGTGCGATGTGCACTATACTGTGATCCTACGACGAGCAATAATAATTATAATAGCTTTGACTATACATGTAAGGATTGATATTTTAATACAGGATATACTCCTAAGAACAGGAATAAAATAACAACAAAGTACTTGTCAAAAAAATTTAGTCGAATACGCTTCAATTTAGTATTTCATATTGTTTACGCGTCTTCTCTCGTTCTCTAGACATGGATCCGGTACCGGCGACTGACCGGTCTCGTTCGTTAAAACCTTTTAGACTAAATGGTAAAGAGTTTTCTTTCAGCGGCATTTTTCAACTGTTCTTGCTTATATAAATTGATATTTCGCAATTCTCTTTTATCAAAAGTATCAAAAAATTTCTATAAAAAGAAGTGGTAGAACAATGGAAAAGCTTTTTTGTCAACTGATTTTTAGCACTAAAAAAAGCTTTTTTGCATTAGCTGGTAAAATGCTGACTTTGGGCAAGAGTTTTCGTACCGGCGCCAAAATATGGACTGAAGAGCGGCGCTGGCAGAGATGGGCGAGCATAACGGAATTCTGAGTACGCGTACGGAAGATTGAGCATGAGTAGGAGTACGAATATTGTCTGAAAGGTACTCGAGTATAAAATTTTTCAAAAGAAGCCGGTGATTCCGAAAAAATCGATTTTTTTGATATGTAAATAGTAAAAAAGAGGTCACCAGTTTTCTGATAGGTACTCGAGTACTTTCTGAAATACTCGTTAAAAAAGGTTCCGATTATGAATACACGCAATTTTGTACTCCCCTATCTCTAGGCGCTGTACCAGTCTGGCAATTTTTTGACGATTCTGTCTCTGTCTTTGTCCTCAAACAATGAGCTTTTAAAGCGAATAATTGATAAAATCGTCTGTTTTTTCGTACTTTATATTTTCAATAAATTATTTTTCGTACTGTAAAGCTACACTGATCAATCTCTTTCAGTTCAGCTACGTCGACAACCAGTAGTACGAGTACAACGAGATCGACGACAGGTGCGAAATATTTGTTCAAAAGTTTTTGATGTCTAAGAAATGTTTTCTTTTTGTAGCAACAACATCGACCACAACTCCTATCGATCTTTGTATGTGGTATTATGGTACTGCTTTTATTCAATTGAAAAGAATGATTTGAATTTATTTAGGTTCTTTTCGTTCGAATACAACTGGTATCACTGTAGCTGATGTTACAAATTCGTCGGGTACTGCATCCAACCAGTTAAACTATCCCTACGATGTATTTGTTGCTTCACAAAATGTCATGTATATTGCTGATTCAAGTAATAATCGAATTCAACGTTGGTTACTTAATGCTACAAACGGCACTGGTATGACAGTGGCTGGTAGTAGCACGGGATTAAGCGGTATAACGTCGTCATTATTAACAAATCCACGTTTTTTGTACGTTGATTCAAGTCAAAATATGTACACCGCTGACACGAATAATCATCGAATACAATATTATTCGTATGGCGCTCCTAACGGGACCACCATCTGTGGTGTCACTAGCTTTTTTTCGACGGCTTATGATCATTTGAATACACCATATGGAGTCTACGTTATTAGCAATGAAACTGTTTTCATTTCTGACGGGAAATTATCGAGTGATGCGATGGGGACCAAGTGCGACGACCGGTGTACTTGTTGCAGGGGCTAATGGCCAAGGTGCGGGAGCAAATCAAATAGATTGGGGAGCCGGGCTTTATATTGATGCAAGTTCAACCATTTATATCACCGATTTACAAAGCAATAGAGTGGCACAATGGTTGTTAGGTGCAACAAGTGGCACGACGGTTGCGGGAAGCAGTAGTGGTGTATCGGGTACATCATCAACATTGATGCACGCCGTGTGCTCTGTTGTCTTAGATGCTTACGATAACAAATATGCTGTTGATAATAATAACCATCGAATACAAATGTTTTGTGCAAATGGCACAAGTGGAACAATAGTAGCTGGAACAACAAGTGGAGCATCGCCTACTCAGCTTCAATATCCTTGTGGGATTGCATTTGATCTATCTATGAATATGTACATTGCTGACACTTCCGGTCATCGAATCCAAAAATTTTTAAAACTCTAAGCGATATCTCAACCACAAGTTTGTTTAATAGGCGGTTTTTATTATAATGCAAAGTCTTCAGAGCACAAGAGGAACGTAATTACGAAAAACGTTTTTTTCAATAAAATAATTTCACTCTTGCTGTTGAGCTCAAAAGAGTGAATTTTCCTGAGGAATACATTCACCAAGGATGCAATTTATAAAAAAAAAGAATAAGACTGTTTTTCTGACAAAGTTACATTTACGTGTATGGAGTTACTTTTATGTATCATTTGATAAGTTCCGTAAAAATGTTATTAGTGATTGAAACTTTTCTCAGTATTAGAAACTTACTGATTTTTCTTCCATTATTGCATTTGATAAACTATTTTATCCGAAAGCTAATAGAAAAGTCGTAAATAGTAAGCTTTCTAAATTCAGTAAATTTATTTTCTATCATTGTATTTATCAGTTTTGAAATTTTTTAGAAACACAGTTCACCAATCAAATCGCTTTTTTCTGGTGTGGCCTAAATATAGAGAAAAATTTCTTAGAGAGCATTGAAATCTAAATGACTTTGGACAATTAACCGTTAATTTGCTTTAAACTTTTCTTCAAGAAAAAATAATGTTCAAAAGTTTTCGATAGAACAGTTACACTCACTTCTAGAGCCAAAGTCACCAATAACCGGTGCGCGGGCATCTGTAACAGTACATTATTACTAGCCTGTGGCCCTCCACGTATCCGACTCATGAACATCATTCATATTCATTCATTTATTCTGTTTCTTGTCCTTGTCTTCTCGATATTTCTCGCTATTCATATCATCTCCCGCTCTTTTACTATCTCTGGGACGTCCTGTATTTTCTTTGCCGTCGTACTTGAGCACATATATACCGGTGTACTCTCTTCATTTGACGAGATCATACTGTCGGCACACACGTATTGCTTCGCGTTTTTCTTTCGTTTTTATATATCCTCTTTTTACCAATAAAGAAGGAGTACTGAAGTATGTAATTTCGGTTAGAGCAGAGAGTTCTCAGACATACTTTGCTTGGCTCTCTGACAACATATGAAAGTTAAATCATGACTCAAGAAATCAAAACTACAGGTGCACGACACCATCTAATTTATGAGGATAAAAGAGATTACTGTAAGCTCCTCATTATTAAAAATGTTCAAACACTTCAGACGTTCAGTTCTCGACATTCAAACTCGTAACCGGAAGTCAACACTTGTGTAGTTCACATACTTTGTTTTCATTTCTCATTTATTTAAAACTCAAAACAAGCACAATAAATAGCAGTAACAGAAGCGACGGAAGGAAAAAATATATAAAACTCTTGATTATGAGAAGTGTAAATCAATACTCCAATTAATTATGCTAAACAGCCATATTGATGCATTAAATCAAATGCACTTGTTGATTGCTCGTTTGAACGACTAACAATAAAAGCTGCAGCAGCCAACTTTTCTATTTGTTCATTGGCAATACAAATTGAGCCTGAATTACATGATGTTGTTGAGTCTTTAACTAAACTACCAAATTTTTCTTGATTTGGTAACACCAAATCATTCAAACCGGTTGCTACCAGTTGTTTCAAATGTTCACCAGCAATACAAATTGAGCCTGAATTACATGATGTTGTTGAATCCTTGACCAGACTACCAAATTCAGATTGATTGGGTAGAACCAAGTCGTTGAGACCAGTGACAAATTGTCGTTGTGCTTCAATTGCCCTAGAAAGTAGTGTTTTTCTCAACGAGCGAAAGGATACTCTCTAATGGACACTTACATCATTGTGACTCTTCTTTTCTTGTATGTGTGTTTGCTTTTTTCTGTTGTATGAATACAATGTATACAAAAAGTCTCAATTTATAGTTGGAGTGGTACCTTCATTCAATACATAAACAGGGGAAAACCCATGATGAAACAACGGAATTCGGTATCATTTAGTCCCCTCCTATCAACAACACACATGCGCATCTCGCTAGAAGTGGAAATTGGAAAATTAGATCTCATGATAACGTCCCTCGCAAATGGTTTTCAACACTCTCTTGATCGTTATCATTCTTCTGACGTTACTTATTCTCTCATAGAGGGAGAAAAGAAATAAAGGAACTATCGTCATCGTTCGAAGGGTAAATCCCAACTATGTTCGATGATAGTCAGAAGAGAGGAAAAGAGAAATCAAGTGTATTTATATCTCTACAAATATGAAAGATCTATCTGTACACTTAGTGCGACGATAGTTTTTTGTTGGAGTATTGATCGATACTTTAAATAACTGAGGTAAGCTGCGTGCTTGTGACTCAATAGTTTCTCAATGTTAGATCTGGAAGGGAAATAATGTTTGCAACCGGCATACAGAAATCTTTAATCATGTAACGGGTTCATTATCATTTAGCCATGGGTAATATTGCTGCGCCAGGACTTTGTTATAATAATTACGATAGACCCAACTATATCAATGATTCGTGTCCCGTGTGCAGTGGTCGTGGTCTTATGTCATCAGTTTATCAACAACAACTTCAAGAGCGTACTTGTTCGACATGTAATGGTACCGGTCGACTTTCAAATATTATCCGAGAAAAATTTATGAACGATTCTGTTGATAAGAGATTTTAAAATGGTAGTAAGAACAATAATTGAATAATGTAGAGCTTGAAAAATTGAAATTTATTTAATTTCCTTAGTAATATTTACTTGTTCGTAGTGTTGTTGACACACAAGTTTTCATGTTTGTCATGTGCAATAAATTTGCTAGTGTACGACTCTTTTTTATATGGCTTTTGAAACGATTAACGACTTGGAGTGTTTTCTATTCTGGCATTGCGAAAAAGTTTCATGATAATTTCAGAGTATGATCTGTTTGTTGTGAGCAACGAGCGTGATATGCGGGTAAAACGGAAAGCACATTTTTCAAAATTAAGTACATCATAGTATAATTTGAAGAACACTCTATCCAATTGTATAAGAAGGTTTGTTAAGAGCAGCAAAATTCATGAAAAAACATACAGCCTCAAGAAAAGCGTCAAAACAGCTTGATAGACAAAATATGTTTTTTTTATGTAAAAGGAGGTAGTCTGTAGCGCAAATAACCTACGATGCAAAAGTAACTGGACAAAATGTTTCACCATTTTTCTTGTGATAGAATACATTTCGGAAAAATGAAAAAAATCTGTTGAGAATCAACATTCAAAGAGCTTTTGAACTGTGTGTTCAAAAACTTTGTATCGCTTCTAGTCTCCTCAGAATGAGCGAATCTTTGCTGCTCTAAAGGCTAAGTTTGTAAGAAAAGGAAGTCCGGTAGTGTTCGACAAATGTAAGTCACGGACCTGGCAAGATCTAAAAGCAAGGAAAGTCGCTTGTGGATAAAGTTTTTTTGCCCTTGCTTTCTGCAGCAGAACGCAATAAAAAATGTTCTCCGGAAAGACAGAAAATATTTTTTCCGAGAGCGGGAAAGCTTGTGACGCCTTCTACCCCATAATGTACCCCACTCAGTACTTGTATTCTTTATATAAATTTCTTGTAGCATATTACTAAAACGTTTTTACGGCACAAGATTATAGAACAGACAATTCTCTACACAATAAGATGTTAAAATAGAATACATAGGGAAATTATTTGCGTTTTCTTGAACATCAGTTGTTTTACCCAAAAAGGATTTCGGGAAAAGCACAATTTTTCACAAGGCAGGCTTTTGGTGACATTAAAAGTTTGACCAGTTTTTGCAATGCAAAAATAGATAAAGAAGATCGTCTAGTTGGCAGAGAAAATTTTGCTTTATAAACTAGTAGTAAACCAAAGTTTAATCTTTCAGTTCGAAGCGGTTATTGTCAAAATGAAAAAATATCCAAAATTTTTATCGTTACAGCCTAAATCTTTAGTGATAAAGATTTGCTCACTATCAGAAGACTAAAAGCGATAGAATATTTCTGAACACATAATTAGAAAGCTCCCAAAGCAAAGTATACTTTCAAAATAGCTATTATTGATATTCTCGGAACGTGCTTTATCACAAGAAAAATGGAGAGACATTTGTCCAGTTACTTTTGGATCGTATCTTGATATATAAGTCGTATGGCTCCTGGAAGAACCGTGCGCGGTCTCGCTGGAGGTCTCACTTCTGCTTTACGAAGACATTGAACTATATTACGCTCAATGTCAGAAGTATTCATTTCAAATACAAGAAATGTGATTACATTAGAATAGTGGCGGTATTGTTAAAAAGCTTCATTCGTCTTTTTCGATTTTATTACAATAGATGAGAGAAAAAGATGACTCAGGATGGTGATAAAGGTTGGCGATGCCTAAAGTATCATTCGATTAGTGGAAATCCGAGAAACCGTGCCACTCCCAAAGACGATAAAGTTCTATCTATCAAAGATTACTGCTTTGGGATTTTGGATTTGTAAAATTAAAAATATTTCAAAATCCATGTGTATTTTCATGGCATTGCACGAGAAAAACGCCTGTTTGCCACAGAAGTATGCTCAATCAATTTTTCCGAATTGGCTGTCACTAGTCTCATCTTGTAGAGCATACTCGAAAACCTATAAATTAGCTTTCTTCATCTTTTCGTTTTGTAGATACAAGAATTTTTTGCAAACAACATCGTGCGAGAAAATAAATGGGTATACAACATAAAATCGATATATCTCGAGAACGCAAAGAGATAGGATCAAGATTTTTTCAGCGTATATAGTACTCAATGTCTACTATATACTGGCATACAGATATTACGTATCATTTCGATCCCCCACCATCGAAAAACTGGTTTCTATTATTTTTAGAATGATTTGACGGGCATATAGGCATATTTCTTCTCCTCACAAATGCTAAGAAATCGTGTTCAGAAATCAGTCTAGAATGTAAAAAGTCAGCTTTTATCAGTTATTCAACGCACTCTTTAATCTGGACAGATAAAAAACAATTTGACGTCAATAGGTTTTCAAAGTCAGAATCTAGTTTTCCACAGGCGGGCCTCTTACAGCCCAGTTGTAGTCTCAGTTGTGATCCTGATATTCGGAATGAACATGGTCGATTACGTATAATCCGTTAAGTTTCGAACAAAAAACGATTTATCAGTTGGGAGAGTTTTCTCGTGATTATGTGGAGATAATCGTTCCACAACAATAATATTAAAGTTAATATTTTATTTGCTCGAATTGTGTTTAAAAAATTATTAATAACCCAAAAAAAGATACGTATATCAGCTAGATTATGATAAATAAATATATGTTGATCTCTTCAATATTCCGTTGCTGCTGTTAAACAAACATAACATTTACTACCAGATTTAGTCATAGTTTGTTTTGAAGCATCACATAGTATTTCAATTTGTCTTAAACAGTATCTCTCATTCATATTTTGGATATTTGAACGTATTTGTTCTATTGATGAGGAAATAAAAAACTTTTCAAACATTTGTCCATTACCGTCAAATAATTGTTGACTATTAGGTTGTTGAGTAAAATATGGTATATTTAATTTTAACAATTCATTTATTTCATATTCTAATATATTTGGATTTACATTTGATGAATGTTTTGAAAGATATTTAAATAAATAATCTTGAGCCATAGCTTTTGACAAAGCTAAATGTGGTTGTTGTAAATGTCGAATTAGCATGGAATAGAACAACGTTGAACGCATTATTTGTCTGGTGGATAATAGCTGATTTAATTCAAACCAAAATTGATTACTATTGTCTAGTAATTGGTCCTTTCTCTGTTCAATATGACTGTATGTGTATTTATATCCATGAATAAAGTCATTTAAATAGCTATGAATTGTGTATGTTTGACCGTTAAAACATGGTGAATTTTGTAGTAGCATGTAACGTGGACCACTGGTACATTGATCTATGGATAATGGACTATTTTTAGTATTTACGAAAAATAGTTTAATTTCATCTGTATGATCATTAAATACAAGTGGTTGAAATGTTTCAACCATTAGTCCAGTCGTCTGAAATGCTGACCGACTTTCATTTCTATCATTTTTTTCATAATCTTCTTGTCTATCAATTAATCCGGTATAAATAATACTTCGTTCATCATTTGACTGACTACCATTACATTGAAAATTATGATATAATGTTTCTAAATCTAATAGAATTGGATATTGGCCATAAGCTAATAAATTTTGACAATGACCATCAGTAAAATTTAATAAATCAACAATAGCTAATAAACTACCTGATCTTATATAATAATGTTTTAATTCTTGTTCTGTTTGACATGATTCATGTTTTAAATATTCATACCATGTATAACCATCTTTTGTTAAATAATTTCGAATTTTTATATCATAAGGTGGTAATAAATTTAATTTATTTATAAATAACTCAAACGTTTTATCAATTGATGAATTACTATTCTTATAAACTAACTTTTGTTGATTGTTGAACGATAAAAATAACACTGTTTGACCATTTCGGTGACGATCTGAACCAGATAATGTAACTTTACAAAGTTCATTGATTTCAGCACAAATTAGCAGTTTTTGATAAATATCAGTTTTATCATTTTTTAAACAATTTAAACAGTATTTAACATTATCAATTGTTGAATGACAATAGCCATTCATCATATCAAATAAAAACTTGTGTTTTTTTACAATAGTTCGGGATGTTGACGCCCATGTTTGTGCTGAATGATCAAAAAAAAAATTTTTATATCGATCCATTGCTGTTTCACCGCTTAATCGACCTTTGTGTGAATGTATTTCATAGACAACAGTCGGTAATATCATATCATCTAACTCATTTGCGATTGTTTGTATTAAATCAAAAAGGACATGGTCGATATTAATACAACCCACATTCTCTAAGTATAAAACCATATCCCTTATTACTGTTTCCAATAACGGCAAATAATACTGTGAACGATAAATATCACGATACTGTATTCTCGATAGCAGAAATTCCCTTCCCATACTTGTCATCTAGACGTAGCCCTAAACATATTAACAAAACTGTTACAGCTAAGTCCATTTAAAGTATTTATGGATTTCGTTTTTCAACCACACATTGAGGGACTATTGAGTTACGAACACACGACTTACCTCAGTTATTTAAAGTATCGATCAATACTCCAACAAAAAACTATCGTCGCACTAAGTGTACAGATAGATCTTTCATATTTGTAGAGATATAAATACACTTG